TCGCGCCGGTCCCCGCGATTCGGTTGGTCGCTGAACCCGGAAGTAAGTAACTTCCGGGAACGGCGAAGGTCCCCCCCCGTGCCCGCGCGCCCGCGCGCGCCCGCGCCCGCTCCTTACCCAGTTTTGCTAAATTCTGCGCTTCCACGCATGCGCAGGACGCATACAGCGCCTGTGCGATCCTCCAGGAGCAGCTGGAGCATCGCACAGACGCTAGTACGCATGCGCGCGCCACACGCATGTGCGAGGACGCTGCCGGCCTCGTTCCAACCGAACCGGTTGGAACGGGGCGAGAAACCCACCCCTGGCTATAAGTCTCTAACTTCCACACTGTTCCTCACTACAGCTCCAGGGCCCTGTTTCCTGATTGGGTTTGGAGAAATTTGGGGACAAAGTTTCCTATGGTGGGACTTCCCTGCCCTCTCCGCCCTTCTCTTACTTAGAGAGAAATGCTCTCCTCGTGCATTTCTCTCCGCATCATCATTGCTATCACTTTCAAAGAAAAGAAGCAACAGGGATTTCCAATTATTTAGTAATAGCAGCAACAAAATGATCCTTTTTCCCCCTAAAATGAAGTACATTAGGGTAGGCGTCCCCAACCCTCGGTCCATGGACCCACACTGGTTGGTGGCATGCCGGAAACCAGGCCCGCAAACAAGCGAAGCCCCAGGTTCCATCGTACTGGAGCATATGATCACAATCAGGGTAGACCCTGCATACAACAGGAACCAACTAGGCTGGTTGGCATAGAGAGAAAAAGGAAAGGTCATGTGAGAATGGGGGAAATGCCGAGACAGAAAGGAAATGAAATAAAATAAATGAGTAGGCAGGCCTACAGAAACAATTGTAATAAAAATTAAAATATGTAGGATTAAAAAATATATATCTTCAACACTGCAGGTTGAGGTTAAAGCCAGGGTTTGGGAATACTGAAGCCTTTATGCAGACTGAGGTGTCATCCATCTCACCTCTCTGTCTTTTCCTGTTGAGTGCCTGTAAAGCAGCGTTCTGTATCTGAGGATTTCCACGTGTCCTGGATTCCAGTTGACCCCGCCCAACAGTCAGGTCTAAAGGCTGTATTGTTTAGGGATTAGAGAGGCTGGACAGTCCAGCAGAGCTGGAGGATGACCAGCCAAGAAATGATGTCCTAAAAGACAACTAATTGCTCTTCAACTTTGTCTTCCGTATTCTGGCTTTGCAATGGACCCAGGCTGTAGAATTGATGGTGTGGGTGGGAGAGATCCCTGGAAAAACCCTGAACGAACTCCAAGGAGCTAAACTTTCAATACACATCCACACACAAACCAACACACACGTATCCACCAGTCTCTGGAAATGCCAATGCAAGAGGGGGGGGGGAGTCTTTATCATCCCCATTGCAATTTTGTCCAAGCTGTGCATTCTCTTTTTCTCTCTAGTTTAAGACTCCAGCCCTCATCTCTGCCATCTCCAGGTGTCATTGGTAGTTCTTTCTGTTTTAAAATCCTTCCTTCTCAGGTACATCTCCCCAGTTGATCTCCCATGAAAGTTGGGTCAGGAGGTGATGAGACAAAGAAAATGGGGGAGAGCCATGGATACTCCCTCTTCAGTCAAAGATGAAGGAAGACCCTGTCAACAAGCAGCAGCCAAGGTTCTGGATAAGAAGAGTCTCCATGCCCCCAATCTACATCAGCACCAGAAGGTGGCAAAGGTCTTCTGGACCATTGCTGCCCTGCCAATTGGAAGGCTGTGTTCCTTTGGCTCCCAGCAGTAACAGAGCCTCGCCCAAGACAGGAACTTCCATATATCAGCCTAAGGCAACCCTGAGAAGGCAAAGGATGAGTGCTAGTTCCAGAGGTCAGGAGGGAGCCTGTGCCATGGGCCAAGCTGGTGAGGGGGCTGCCGACAGGTTGGAATGTACGTTGGTGCTGATGGTGAAGTCACTTGGCTATAGGAAAAAAATGAAGAGAGGGAAAATGGTGAGTGCAGGAGGAAAAAAATCTGCTATCTAGCCTGACTAGCAGGCAAGATCTCTCATTGTTCTGTTCTTGGAGACGTCATCAATAAACCCAAGAACTTATTTGCGTCATGCAGTTGCTAAACCACTGAACTGCTGTTCTTCAAACAGAAGAATCCAAAGACTCAGGAACCCAAGAAACTGCCTTATTCGGATTTGGACCACTGTTCCAGAATTCCCCCACCATAGCAACTTCTGGAATGTATGGACTTCAACTCCAGAAATTCCTCATTCAGCATGCAATTGCTGAAGACTGATGGAGTTACTGCATACATCTGGAAGATGCCATGGTTGGAAAAAACTGACCTAGACTAATATTGTGCATACTGACCGGCAGCAGCCTTCCAAAGTTTCAGGAAGGATGTAATAGGCGCCAGAGATTTATCTTGGGAACTCCTGCAGTGCTTCATCATTGAGCCACTTAACATTCCTCCAATCTGAAGTCTCTGGCAGAGGTCCTATAAACCAAGCTTCTCCAACCTGGGTGACTTCCAGATGTGGGACTTCATTTCCCAGAATTCTTCATCCAGCATGGCCATTTCTGAATGTTCCAGGAACTGAGATCCCACATCTGGGGTTTGGCCAGTTTGGAGAAGACCCATATGCATGTTTACTTGGAAGTAAGTCCATTCAAACATAAACTTCTTATATACAAAGTACCTAAAACATATCTTGAAGCTGAAGGCACAATTCCTGCTAATTGCTTAATCAGGCTAAGTAGTATTGAAGTTTGTAAATATGGGATTGGCAGCTGCAAAGATACATAGCAAAAAAGGAACAAAATTGGATCTTACGTTACGCCGGAAGAGCCTCTGCAAGAGGGTACGCTTGGGTGGGTCAGGAAGCTGCTTCCAGTCCAGATCCGGGGATCGGGTGCCATTTGGTCCAAAGATGTTGAGATCCTTAAAGCATTCTGTCTCGATCATCTAGATAAGAGGAAGAAGAAAAATGCAATCAGTAAGAATGGTGAGGAAACAGGGTGCTATATAATAAAAAACTGCTGGACAGAATGGACATTTGGGAGAACCTATCTCTATGTGCTTCCTTAGATCGAGGCTTTGCCAATGATCTTCTCTTAGACCGTCGTGAGACAGGTTAGTTTTACCCTACTGATGATGTGTGGTTGCCCATGGAATACCCTGTTGCCCATGGAATACCCAGCCTGGGAACTGGCAGCTGCCGAACTGCCTGGGACCGGACAATTGCAACGTGGAACTTCGGCGGTAGCCGAGGACGAGGCGAGGAGGGCAGAAGGCGAGAGGACTCTCCTCACTGGAGCCAGCGAGCGGAGCAGCATTGTCGAGGAAGCTTAGAGGTAGTGCACAACTACAATACACTATTCTCTTCCCTGATTTGCAGAGACCCTCTGTGAGGAAGATAGATGGTTTCTAAATTTGATAGATAAATAAATATTTGTAAATGTCCCTTCCTTACCTCGTTCTGCCAGGGGATTGAGACACAGCCTGTGGCAAATTTGACATAGAAATCATTGTCGGTTTGGTCTAAGTTGACACCCTTCACAGTGGAGAATTGTTCAATGTCCAGTACGTCCTTACAATACACAGCCCGAGGCTAAAGGAAAGACAAGGATTCCAGTAAGTTTGTCATCTCCAGGACTTACATATCCAGATGTGCAAGAAGAGATGGATTTGTTCCCTTTGAAAGCCAAAGGAAGGACTGGGACTAAGAAGTTTAAATTAAAAGACAGAAGATTCCAGAATGAACATCGGGGAGAGCTTCACGAAGATAACAATAATTAAGCAGTGCCACCATCCAGCCAGAATAGTGGAGGATGACGTCTCCTTTGAAAGGAGAGAGGGAGGCTGGATGGTTGGGGATGGTTTTGTAAATTCATGGCCTCAACTGTGAGTTGAACTAGGAAAATCTGTAATGCCCTTTCTAGTTCAGTTTATGATACTAAATCTAATCAAAAAAAGCAAAAAGTGGATACTCAGGAACCCCATAAAATAATTTTATTTAGCTTCTTTTGGGAGAGATTTGGAATTGGAGGCAGGGAAAAAAACCGGTGAGGATGATGGATAGAATATGGGGTCACTAATACTACTTCAAAAAACAGAAGAAACCAGACATGATCAGGATGAGGAAGGGGGCTCTGATAGCACTTTTTCAAGATCTGAAAGACTTCCACAAAGATGATAGCCAAGAGGAGAAGCCCATTACTGGGGAGAAAAAGATTTCTTTTTTAAAAGTCTGAAATATCACAGGTTGGACAGTTCATGACCTAAAATTAAAAGAAACTTCCTGCCTCCTTTTCATTCTGAAGTTCCTAGAATTCCCTACATTTGGGCCCTAAATTGTGCATTCACGATTGCTAAAAACCAGGGAATTCTCCTCTGCTGAAGCAGGAAACTCAAAAACAATCTTGCATGCCTAAAATAGATTTAAGACAAAGATACACAAAAAATACAAAAAATGACAAAAAATATCCCAACACAAAATAACGACGATGACGATGACAACAACAACGAAAAAAAGAGGGAAAGTTTCGTGACCCGACAAAAGGGCGAACGTCAAAACCGCGCCCAACTAAACCGCGTCGCTAAAACCGCGACGTTATCAACGCGGCGACAACAGCGCGGCGACAACAACGCGGAGACAAAAGGGCGCTTTACAATAGCGCGGAGACAGAAAGCCAATTTAATTTAAGGTAAGGGTTAGGTTTAGGGTTAGGTTTAGATTTAGATTTAGGGTTAGGGTTAGGTTTAGCGTTATGTTTAGCATTATGTTTAGCGTTAGGGATTAGGTTTAGGTTTAGTTTTAGGTTTAGTTTTACAGCGCGCTTCTGTCTCCACGCTGTTGTCGGCGTGATTCAGCGCTCATTCGTCGGAGCGCTTTAGAACACACGGTTTTATCACTGCAGTTTAGTCGTTCGCGGTTTTGTCGTTCGCCCTTTTGTCGGTGAACCGGAAAGTTTGGCATTGGCTTAACACCTCACTCCTCCAGATAAAACATTTGCCCCCTCTATTTGTTTTCTTATCGCTCTCCTTGAGTTCCTCACTCTTACTTGTAAGAACTTACATCTGGCACAAATGAGGGCTTCAAAATCCCAGCTTCCAGTCGCTTGAAATTGATTGTCCTGAAGAATGGGTGCTGCTTCACCTGGACAGCCCCCTCACTTTTGTTTCCAAGCCGCTGCTTAGGGTCTTTAGTTAGGAGCTGAAAGGGGGGAAAAAAGAGAACATCTTGTAAGTAAAGCCTTCAAGACAACATTGAACTCAGAACTTTTTAAAGTAGACTTCGTAAACCAAGACCAAGTTGTTTTTTTCTGCCATGGAACATAAACTGAGTTGGTTCTCAAACCCACCTAAGTCCAGAATAGTTCACCAAGGTTTGTCCTGTAAGTACAGCTTCTTACAATGGAAAAGAAAGTGTCCATGATGAAGAGAAAGGACTAGTCCACCTCATCAGAGGCATTTAAAAAAACCATATGATCAATATCAATCGATTTTAAAAATTAAACCGATGGAAATGAAATAATAGGGAGTCCATTAAGGGATCAACATGCATTCCAACAGTAGCATGACATGGCTGTGATCAGAAGCACCACTCTCTGCTTCTCTTAACGTAAAAGAAATATGTATATTATTGCTTTTGAAATCCCCTGCAAAGTGGAAATCTGGTAAGTTTATGTGAATAACATGTGGGGCTGCTTGACTAAATACACACTATGCAAACCAGCCCACACATATAAACCTGTATATACACACATGGCAATAGTGGGATTCAGCCAGCCCGCACCTATTCGGGAGAACCGGCTGTTAACTTTCTAAGCAGTTCGGAGTACCGGTTGTTAGAAGAAATCTCATTTTGTTTTTTTCCACTTTACAGGGCTAATCCTGTAAGGAAGGCAGGAAGGAAACATTCTGGTGTTGTTTCTAGCTTCATCTTTATTTCCCTGCTTACAGAAACTGCCTCTCCGGTTCGCGACCCGTCAAAACCACGGTCCACTAAAGCGCGCCCGATCAAAGCGCGTACGTGACGTCATCACAGCGC